ACACCAAGACAATGACATGAAATCGATGATAACACCAAGAAAATGACACCAAATCAACAACACCAAGTAATGACACCAAATCAACAACATGAAAGTGATGATACCAAGTGATGACACCAAGACAATAACACCAAATTGACAACACCAAGCGACGACACCAAGACAACAACATAAAATCGATAACACCAAGCAACGACACCAAGACAACGACACCAAAGCGACAATACCAAGACAATGATATCAAAGTGACAATACCAAGTGATGATACCTAACGATGACAACAGAGATGCTATCACAAAGCATGACAAACTATAGTAGTAAAAAAATAAAATAAATAAATTGTATAGAAAAAAAAAGAGCAATACAAAAAAAAAAAAGTAGTGATTATTGATGATCACTGATTGTATATATACCCTGTGATTAGGGGTGCACTATGGTACAAGGTGCACCAAAATATAAATCTTATTAATAATAACTATGCTGATATTTGTATTTAAACTTTGATTAAAGATATCTCAACAACCATTTGACCAAATTCAATAAACTTTTTTTTAGTTAAATCCTACAGATCTGTAAAATTTAAATAAAAAAAATTCATTGATTTTGGTCATGTGGTTGCTGAGATATCTTTGATCAAAGTTTGTGAAAAATTTTAAAATATCTATATTACTTAATAATAACTGTGTTAATATTTATATCAAAACTTTAATTAAGAATATCTTGACAACTACTTGACCAAAATTGATGAACTTTTTTATTTGAATTCTACAGATTTATAAAATTCAAATAAAAAAAGTTTATTAATTTTGGTCAAGTGGTTGCTGAAATATCTTCAATCAAAGTTTTGGTACAAATACTGGCATAGTTATTATTAAGTAATATAGAAGTTTTAAAATTTTTCACAAACTTTGATCAAAGATATTTTAGCAACCACATAACAAAAATCAATAAAATTTTTTTTATTTGAATTTTACAGATCTGTAAGATTCAAATAAAAAAAAGTTTATTGAATTTGGTCAAGTGGTTGCTGAAATATCATTGATCAAACTTTTGGTACAAATATTAGCACAGTTATTATTAATATAGATGTTTTAAAAATATTTAAAAACTTCAATCGAAGATATCTTAGCAACCACTTGACTAAAATTGATAAACTTTTTTTTATTCAAATTCTACAGATCTGTAGAATTCAAATAAAAAAAAAATAATTAATTTTGGTTAAATGGTTGCTGAGATAACATCAATCAAAGTTTTGATATAAATATTGGCACAGTTATTATTAAGTGATATAGGTAGTTTAAAAATTTTCACAAACTTTGATTGAAGATATCTCAGCAACTACAAGAACAAAATTGAACTTTTTTTAGTTGAATTCTACAGATCTGTAGAATTTAAATAAAAAAAATTTATTAATTTTGGTTTAGTGGTTACTAAAATATCTTCAATCAAAGTTTTAGTACAAATATTAGTACAGCTATTATTAAGTAATATAATTGGTTTAAAATTTTTAAAAACTTTGATTGATGATATCTTAGCAACTACTTAACCAAAATTAATGAACTTTTTTTTATTTGAATTCTATATATCTGTAAAATTCAAATAAAAAAAGTTTATTAATTTTTGTCAAATAGATGTCAAGATATTATTGATCAAAGTTTTGAAAGCTTGTAAACAATAAAGTAATAAAATCAAAAGGATTTTTATATAACCATAGTATAAATAGCAAAAATTTATAGTACGAATAGCAATTCTTTAAATTTATTAATAATATTTAACTAATAAAAATATAAAATATACTAATAAATTTTGACTATATTATAATCAGTATTGGCTTGACCAGACCAGTTTAATTATTATTATTTTTTTTTTTGGTTTTTAAGGTGACCTCTTGGTCGATTCTCTTTATTCAGTTATTAGTCAAGTTTTACCATAC